TAATTCCCCCAAAATCCCCCCGTTTTTCCGGGTTTTTTGGGGTTCCAGAATTTTTTTTTTTTTTTTTTTTTTTTTTTTGGTCCCCATCAAACCAACAGTCCTTCTTAATCAAACCAAACCAAACATTCCAGACAAAGGAACTGGAGTTTGATTAAAGTGGACTAAACAGAGCTGGTGTGAATGCACCCTAAGTTAATATGTCCAAAGTGTGGTGAGAATGTATCTTGAACATGCTTGAATTTTACGTGTGTGTGTGCGCGCGCGCGCGCTGAGGGAACTCCGTGGTGTCCGTTAAACAGGTAAGAGCCTCACAGGCTGTGGCAGCAGCCAGGGATGGCCGCTGGAATTAGACACAGTGGCACACAAATAACACGCCATATGGCCAGACTTCAGCTGGCTTTCAATTAAGGCCTTCATTTGCATGCCGAGAAACACCTCCACGCATCAAGGGAAACGTCTCACCTATGCACGGCTTAATTAATATCTCCGGTCAGCAGGAACAGGGGCCCCATATGTTGGCAGCTCTGATCAGGAATCGGCTCGTCCGCTCAAGACTCGTCATGCTGAGTAGCGCTGGTATTTAAAACGCAACTGTTTGCCATTCAGAGCGGCACGTGGGCGGAGACGGTGCGACAGCGACGCCAAACCAGACAGACACGTGCCACGCACACACATGCAGGTGCGCGCGCTCTTCCAACTCGCCGCGCCTCGCAGCACAAACCCAAAAGGGGCCCCAGGCAGACGCTCAGAGTGGCGGTCGGGCTCCCGGCTCGATTAGCTATTAGCCACAGCGTGCTGACAGCTGATGTGAAGAGAGAAACAGGGAGAGACTGTAGAGACGGTTTTTCTGCGGGATTGAGGGATTAGCTGACGTTGCATGATGATACGCCTTCTGCTTTCTGTGCCTCTACATGAACGTACGTGTGTTTCGCTCCTCTCTAGCCTCCCGAGCTAGAGAGGGTTGGGTAATTGTGGTTTTGCCTGACACTATTAGTAAGTAAAATTGACTTCTTTCTGGCTTTAGGTCAGGTTATAATTTTATTCCCTCCATCAGAACACACCTGCAAGGTGTCCGCGCATCCTTAAAAAGTTTTAAATTCAAATTAAAATGCCTTAAATTAATTTAAAACGTGTAAGTTAGACTTCAGTACGTAACAGATTTTAGATTTCCTCATTGCAGGACAATTTAATGTCTTGTATTCCATTTAGTTTTGTTTTTTTTCTGAGACTTTTCTGTCAAGCAAAAGTTTGAGTCGCACACAGAGGTCTTCATTACATTCTGTCTCAAGGCGGTTGACTCTGCTGCTGAGTCTGTGGATTTGCATAAGGCTTGACTTCAGCGTACTCCTTTTTTTTGGTCAAATATTTGTTTGTAAAATTGTATTTTGTTCTGTTTTCTTTTTAGTAAAGTTGTTGATTTACCATAGTAATGTCAATCTGAATCTGAATAAACTCTTGCTAGCTAGCCAGTGGACGTTTTTACTTTGAAGTCATATTTGAGATATGTAGCTTTTTTTTATAACAACTGAAGGGAACATGGTTACTTGATTGGTCTTTAAATTTCACTATGTGGCTGGAAAATGCACAGCACTGCCCCTTTAATCACCAGGACCTCGGTGGATTTCAGAGCGTTAAGACCGTCTCAGACATCAAGGTCACCCCACCAGCTGCGCCTGAGACCATCTTCATCACCGGGGATCTAAACTTGTTTCTCTCCCTCCTGGAGCACCAGCTCGCCACGCATCACGCTTCTCTGATGCTGCTGTCCCCCAGGGTGCAAAAAGCGAGCAGAAATGCTAATCTTTTTTAAAATCGTCTTTAAATAGTTTCTGCTGCGAAAAGAAGCCGGACTTTCCAGCTGGTACATTTTTTAGCCCAACTGGCCTAAAAAGTTTAGAAAACTCGTCTGCGCGCTCCACTTCATCACCGCCGACATGCTTCACAGTTTTTTTTTTCTCCAGAAACTTTTAACAGGTAGAGTTATCATCATTAAATAATTTCAGAGCTTCTCCTTTTACAAGACGAGCAAATATGATTAATGCCGAGAGCTTCACCTTGTGCTTCAGAAAGAAAGAAAAAGAAAAAACGTCTTAAACGTGATGGGAATCTGAGCTTTTTTGATCATTTAGGCTCAAAAAGGAACAGTTAAAGCCCGAGGCTCACAGTGTAGCTTCATATAGAGCCATGAAGTACAACAGAGATTTTCTTTTTCCTTTTCCTGCACATGATCATATTTCATCATTAATATTTAAACAAACTCCTTTGAAGTTGCAGGTGTGAATTTATTCGGCTTTCATGAATATTTAAATAAAAACACTCTGCAGCCACTGATCATAAATAGTTAATGTGATTGGTATAGATTCATGGGTCAATTTACTGCACAGAATCCCAATTGAACCAATAAACCGCTGTGCCGTTCCCAATGTTCCAGCTTTAGACTAATTAGACTTCAGGAATCTATTATTATGGAAAAAAGTATGAACAACTTTTTTCATATCTAAATAATGTTTCCACTCATCCATAGGTTTCTCCACCTTCTCCTCCATCTTTTCTTTCCATCCTTCTTCTGTTACCATGTCCTTCCCTCTTTTCTTTTATTGACCCTTTCAGCCTTATTTTGTCCTGTCTACTCTTCTTTGCATATTTCAGTCCTTCTTTTCATCCATGTCACTCTTTCTCTTCTTTCTTTCACCCTCCTTCCCACTTTTCTATTTTTTCTTGTCTTTCTAACATCCATCCTTTCTTACAACCCTTCATCCATCCTTCCACATTGTTCTTCCTTCCTTGTCTGCTTTCTTGCTTCTTTCTTTCTTCTCTCCTTTGTTCTGTTCTTCCTTATTTTCTTTCTTTCTCTCTTCCTTCTGTTCTCCCTTTCATCCATATTTTCTCCCTTCCTTCTTTCTATTCTTCTTTCCTACGTTCCTTCCTTCTGTTGTCCCCTTCATCCATTTTTGCTTCCTTCTTTCTTTCCTTCTGTCCTTTCTACTCTTCCACTCTCCCTTGCTCCCTTCCTCCCATCCCTTGTTCTTCCTTCGTTCGTTGCTCCCTTGCCTTCCTTCCAACCTCTTTTCTCTCGTTCCTTCCTTTGTTCCTTCTGTCTTTCCTTTCTTTTCCTTCCTTCCCTTCTTCCTTCCTTCCATCTATTGAAGGAAGGAAAACAAAACCACACAGGTTTTGTACTTAAAGCCTGACCAGATGTTAACATCTGCAGTAAGATCTTAGTGAATCAATACTCTGCCATCATGTCTCCAAATATAACTTTAAATTTCATTGTTATCGACGTCAGACCAGACGTTGTGTTGGACCTGGATGAAGTCTGCTCTTGTTGGATGAGTTGCTGGCCTGAGCAGAGCAGAGCTAAGTGGCGCTGAGTATTTGTTGCTGGTTGTGTTGCAGCTCAGGGTTGGCTGCAGAGGGTGCTCATCCTGGGCTCTGAGGCCCACGTGATCGAGGAGATCCAGCTGTTCGACTCGGCCCAGCCCGTGGACAGCCTGACCATCTCACACTCCAAGGTAAGAACGCCAGCCAGCGATCTGCTCCAGATGCCGCATAAACACTAAAATAACATCTTTTCTTTTTTTTTGGTATAAAAACAGTTGTGGAAACATTTCACATCCATTTTCGACTACGCTGCTACTCCGTTACAACAAAGGGAGTAGCAACCCTTTCACACACACCCCTGATATGTCGGGGTGTGTGTGAAAGTACAGATTCACCGCAACAAACCGAGGGAGAAATGACTTTGATTTAAAAAAAGAAAAAGGAGCTGTTCCTGGTCTTTTCTGCAGTTATGTCATTATGAACTTCCTGTTTTCCTCCCATGTGAAAAGGCTTTTTTGTGTCTTCAGTGCTAAATGTCTTATGTTTTTAGTGTGTATACCAACAGAAAGTACACTTTATACCCCAGTTAACAATTAATTGATTACTACATTAGTTGACGATTACTTCAATAGTGAATTCATCACGATTAATCCAATTAATCGTTTCGGTCCTAGTAGAAACTACTTCCTGCTTTGCTTCTGTAGTCTTCCTCTTCCCCCCCCCAGCACATTATCGCATAATTTTGGAGATCTATTGGCCTCTTTGTTGTCTCATCTCAAGTTCATTTGTATTCCTTTTCAGCGCCATTCCTCTGTCTGTGTTGATCTGTTAATACCTTCTTTTGCCTGATGCTTATGAGTATGGATCATCTGTCAGCAGACGTTGAATAAGGGGGTGTTTATCAGCCCCGTTTCATATCGGGTCTCACCTCATGAAGCTGAAACTCCCCCGTTATAAACGCTGTAACTCCACGACTTTAGCCTGGCGGGGAGCTGAACCTCTGGTGCACACGTCTCTCTACGGCTGCTTAAATCGATGGACTTTGGTCCGTCTGTTCTCGTCTCCAAAGCCAACTGCTTATCTCGTTAATGCGGGCTTAGCCACAGCCAGACATATTTTATAACGGCTTTCTGCGAAAGGGCCGCAAACCAGATTGGATTGGAAGAGGGCAGGAGGGCGTGTGTTATTGTAATTGAGAGCGATTATCCCATTATCTCCTCTAACCCATAACTCTGTCACTCTCCCGTCTTCTCCGTCTGTGTTTATCTCTCCTCTTCTTCCTCATCTCTCCCTCTGGATTGTGCCTGGCCCCCCACCCCGTTCTTTGTCCTCGCCTTTTCTTGCTTCCCTTTGTAGAAGTACTTGTACATCGGATCTCGTTCCGAGGTTCTCCAGCTGCCCTTGGCCAACTGCAGCCGCTATCAGTCTCAGCCAGACTGTCTGCTCGCCAGGGATCCCTACTGCGCTTGGGACAACGAGGGCCGGGCCTGCGTCCGCATCGACCTCCACCGAGGGTGAGACGAGTTCTTTTCTTTGCCCCTGTTGGCTCGGTTCGTGTCGAACGAGTCTTGCGGTTGCCGTCTTGAGGGACGGGTTTCTGGAACATTATTTGAACCAAAACTTAAGCTACCAGCTCTGCTGTTTTTTATTTTATATATTTTTGGTGATTTTAGTTGATAGACCAACACAAAAGTGGTGTATGATTATAAAGTGGAAGGAAAATAGCAGAATTTTATTTTAAATTTTTAATAAATTTGTATTCAGCAGTGCTGAGTCAATGCCACACAAAACCACTTTCCACTGCAATCACAGCCACAGCTTTCGCCCGAGTATTAGCGAAAGCTCACATCCGAGCAGGTTCACATCCGAAGCAGGATGTGAACCTGCAGTCTCAAGTCTTTAAAACCCTTTGAAAGTTTTTTTTCCCCAGGATTTTATTGGATTTAGCTTCATCCATTTCCCACTTTTTAACTTTTACCATCTTTCTTTTTATTGCTAAATAAAACATGTCACTGCACCCAGTATCTTTCAAGGAGAGGACGTTTGTTTCATCTGATCATATCAATGTCTTCCAAAAAACCTTCAAGTACAACTTCTTGTGGCTCCTTTGTAACCTACGCTGTGAGGAGTTTGACCTAGATATTATTTATGTGTGTCAAAGTAAATGAGGCTGAGGACAAATTCAAACATTTTTTTTCTAGTCACTTTATGTAATTTTTTTAATCCAATTTAGCATAAACCCCGATATTATCCTTAAAGGTGTCAAAATATCTCTCAGGTCTCTAATTTGAACCTTTTTTCTGTTTTGTTTCCAGGTCCACCTCCTCCCTCTCCCAGGACCTCATGCTGGACAGGTTCAGCCGTGGAAAAGCCAAGTTTGATAAGCCTGTCTCCATCCCCAGTCCTGGTGAGTATGAGCTGCGCCTCACTGGTGCCCCCTGGTGAGAGTTAAGTGTCAATGCAGGAGCAAGTTAGCTTGAAGATGGAAAATAGACTTGCCATCATCTTGGTGAATACATAAAACAGAATAAATTGAAATCAAGCAGAAGAAAGTTGCCTAAGCACAGATTGATCATGGATGACCTGTAGCTCAGCCTTCTGTCTTTTCTTCCCACCACCCTCCAACCCTTCCGTTCCGCTGCAGAGCATTCCCGATTGAGAAACGTAACCGTGGTCGTTGGGTCCGACATGGTGCTGCCTTGCCAGCTTGTCTCCAACTTGGCCCAGCCTTTCTGGGTGGTCAACGACCGCGAGCTGCAGCTGGGCGACCCGGAAGCAGGAGGACCTCGCTTTGACCGGACCCTCAAAGCCCTCATTGTCCCCGAAGCGGGCCAGATGCAAGCCGGCCGCTACATCTGCTACTCCGAGGAGCAAGGGGTCAAGTTTCAGACCGAGCGCTACCAGGTGGCAGTTGTCGCCAGCGCCCCGGTGTTCATGGAAGCCCGGGCGCCGGACAGCAGCATGGGGCTCTTCTGGGTATTGGTTATTACCCTTGGAGCAGCGTGCCTTCTCCTCCTGGTGGCAGCTCTGTACCTGCGCAGGAGGCTGAAGCTGGCGTTAGGGAAGGGCGCCGACATGAAGCCTCTGGAGAGCACCCTGGTCTACCCCATCACCCTGCCCAAGGAGCCGCCCACCTTCGTGCCCAGCAAGATGCCGAGCGACGAAGACCGCTTCTGGGAGACGGGTGCCAACTACTACTACTCAGACGGCTCGCTGAAGATCGTTCCCGGCCACGCCCTGGGCCCCAGCAGCGTCAGCAGCACGGCGTCGCCCAGCGCCATTCCCGGCCAGCCCATCCACTCCCCAAGCCGGCTCAGCCTCACCAACATCCGAGGCTCAGGTAGCAACGGCTACATCCGCCTCAACCTGAGCACAGCGGGGGAGGAGAGGGCTAGCGGGGCCGGCGTTGGCGGCGGCGGGCTGGGAGGGCTGGGCGTGGGCGGGAACGACTACTCCAGTCCCTTCAAGGAGGAGCTGAGACGCACCCTGCAGCAGAGGAGTGTCCTGCCCGACGCCAACCCAGAGGAGTCGTCCGTCTAGGCCTGTCCCTCCTCCGTCTTTATTCCCCCCATTGAGGAGGAACAAGAAATCTAACCAAAGCTACCTCGCCTCCTTCCGAGGACGCCTGCTCTCTCTCTGTCTTTCAGCGACTCGCTGTCCACTCCCATGCTCTCTCTCGTCTCACTCTGCCAATGCCTGTTTGGCTCTCCGTAGACTTCTATTAGCACTCAGCATGTTCAGCACACACACACTCCGCATACCGTGTTTGCCAACAGTTGCTGTGTTTCAGGCAACACAGAGTCGTGGTTGTGACCGTCTCTGCTTCCACTGTGCAACTGCCACTCGTGTACATTTTGTATTTAGAAGAACAAAAAAAAAAGGTGAACGCAAAGGAGACTCACCTCAAGCATGGAACCCCCCGCCCAACAAACGGTGTTATTTTCTTCTCTCAGATGGGCACAGCTCGTTCTTTTCCTTTGAGCTCAGCCTCTGTTCTGGGACCAGTTAACAACGAGGGCCGACTAACTGGAAATATGGATTATTTTGTGTGTGTGTGTTTGTGTGTGTGCGTGTGTGTGTCTGCTTGTGTCCCTTGAGACTTAACTGCTTACTGCACTTAAAAAGCTGGAAGCCTGTCTTCCCTTGGTTTTGTACTTGTGAGCCAGGAGTGAGAGAGTGATCCAAAAAAAATAAATAAATCTCCAAGCAAGATGACAATCATGTCCCCGTGGCAGGAGCTGTGTGTGTGTGTGTGTGTGTGTGTGTGTGTGTGTGTGTGGGGGTGGGGGGGCAGAAAGGAGACAAAAAAAAAGAGAGGAAATGAGACGGAGGGATGGACGTGAAGAGAGAGTTTCGAAATGAAGGACAATCTCTTAAAGACTTTTTTTCCTGCTCGATTTTAATTTTTTTCCCGCTGGAGGACTCCTTCCATTTCTTCCGATTTAATTTAATGTGACGCTCGGTTTGAATTGAGACGTTTCCCGTCTCTCTTTCTCTTCGTCGTGCCGTTTTGTTTGACTTTTGGACCACGGCAGCGTTCAAACGGTTTGCTAGTGACTAATGGCTCACCTCTGTGAACGACAGAGTGACATTACTCCTCGCTCAGTCCTGCATGGTGACCTTCAGATCCACTCCGCTCCGTGTGACATTTATCGGAGTGGCGGCGTGTGACAGACGGGTGTCTGGATTTGGATCTTTGTGAACTCTCGTTTCAGTCTTTTAAAAGAAAGAAAGGCTTTGCTCGGGCGGAGTTAATTGCGAATCGAAGCTGACTTGAAGACGTTCGGCACACAGAATGTAGTTGAACCCTTATCGTCACGACGGCTGTGGATGTCCCAGGAAGTCCTTTATTTTATTTTTTTATTTTTTTCTCAGTGTTTTGTGAAGAAGGTGGCAACTCTTGCACTGCCAAGAAGGAGACTACCACTCCCGACGCATGCACACTCACACAAACACACACTTGTTTCGATTGTTAAGGAGCCCAGCCATCCAGGACTACAGAGCGAATGTGAAGCACCCTTAGAGCCCATGGAGCCCCAAACCCCGACCTCCCTTCACCGAAGCCTAGAGACTGAGCCGGGGCTACTGTGGACCGATGCAGTGGAAGGACACTGAAACACACACCTACACTACAAGAACTCACTCAGTGTTAAAATAGAGGAAATGGACCGACAGACAGACTGATTGCTGCCATGCTGATAAACTGCTGGCCCCAGGCAGAAAGATGCCACGAAGAAGTGAAAGGTAATTTTTTGTTCTCTCTCTCTCTCTTTTAAAATAGGATTGTGAGTGCTACTAAGATTTCCAGTGCAAATGATCTCTTTGGAAAAGAATAAATGGCTTTCATAATTTTAGGGTGCAGTCACAGCAGCTCTGCTTTATTCTGCTTTATTCGAATTCTGGTTCGCTTGGGAGAGGTGTGAATAAGACACGATGTCATGATAGCAGATTTTCATAAACGATGATATCATTGCTAGGCCTAAATGTGGACGCGTAATCGAACTCTAATCAAAAAAAGTTAACTTTGGTCCATCTAAAAGCCTAGGTCTCCGTTCAGATGAGTTGAATGCATTCAAACCACAGCAGGCCAGAGACTGCTCCAAAAACAGGAAGCAGCTCATAGGGCAGTGCATTCTGGGTAAATACAACCAAAACAAGTGCACATCTCTAGTGCTAGTGGGAGAAATGCCCTGCGGTCTTTTAGGTAAGACAAAAGAGAAATCCTACAACTGCTAAAGCATGACCATTCTGTTTTTGTTTACCTTTGGTGAAGGAGGAAGTTGTGCTCTTTGTCTTCTTCAGAGGTTTTTATGCCATTTCCTTCAGTAGTTCTTGGTGCAGGTGATGGAGGGGAAAGGTTTTTCAAAGTGTTTAATAATAATGATGATGCATTTTATTTGACGGTGCCTTTCAAAACACCCAAGGAAGCTTTACGACATTAATAACACAAAGTAAAATTACTTTCATAATTGTAATTGCTTAATAATGCAAGAACACATTCTGAAATATCAACAAACTTTAAACTCTAATGAACATTTAGCACTGGAACTGGAAGACATTTTAAATATCCAAAATAAACAAACAAAACAACAGAAATGTTAAATAAAATGAATAATGATGTTTCTGTAAATGTTACAAAATTGTTTTGTTGTTGTTGTTGTTTTTTATTATTATTATTTTTTTTTAAAAGGTCTAGTGGAGACCAAAGCACCAGACTGAAGACTTTAGTCATCCAGTCTTTGGTAGAAACAGAAGAACGATAAATCATGCAAATGGAAATAATTGAGTTCATTTGAATTTTGCTGCTATTAATTGACTTATTTTTCAATTATGGCAATAATTGAGCCAAATTGTACAAAATCTAATCGTACGTTATTGTACTAAATTAATCTCTTTCTTCAAAATTCTACATGCAAATTCTCAATGATGACAATGTGGGGAAAAATGAGTGTTTTGTTGACGCCACAAGATTCGCTGAGTTATCTTTGGGCCGTTTCACCAAATGAACATGATTTGGAACAAGGCTGCAACATGACATGTGGAAGAAATGAAGAACTGGGAATACTTAACGGATGCACTGCGTCTGTACTTGGCTCCATTGGTCAATCTCTAATCATCTTTTGTCACTTCCCAAACTCCAAACGTGTTTTATTTGGATTTTAAGAGCATAATTGTGGCGTGGAAAGAAAACGATACATGTTCAATGTAAAAAAAAAAAAAAAAAGTTATGAAAAAGTTCAAGGGGTATGAATACTTTTGCAAGAAACGGCTCTACTGTAGCTACTAAAATATAGCTTCCTGCTGACACTAACATCACTTGTTTGTTTCCTTGCAGTGTTTTTTTTCTACTCTTTTTTTTCATCGTGTATCTTGTGGATGTGCCTGTGGAGACCGGAGGAACGCATGAAGGAGCCGGAAAGTAAAGTACCTTGTGTTGTTCCCACTGTGTACAGAGCGATGAAAAAAAAATCTAAAGAACCCTACGACTGAGGAGGTCGACAGCCATCAGCACTTCATCCTACTGTTGCATGATCTTCTCTGCAAGTGGACTGCACACCTTTGATAATGATCATCCCTGTACGAAAAGTGAAACATTTCCATCCCTGTTTGGACTTTTTTTTTCCAGGCTCTGACGTTGTGCAACACTAAAGATCTCTTGAAATAAAACATAAAAAAAGACAACAAAAAAAAAAGCCAGCTAAATTTCACGCCTCAAGACTTGTACAGTAAATTCATGGCTGTATTTCAACATGTTTACTTTCTCTGTGCCTCTTCACCTTTCTGGAAAGAAAAGAAAAGAAAAAAAAACGCCAAAGTAGACTGCAGTTGCTTTTGTTCCTGTCGAAATTCCTGAATAAGTTTTATTTGATTCCAGATCGATATCTTAAGTCTCAGCAATCCGTCCGCTTTGCTGTGCTGAGCTGGTGTCAGCAACCTTCCTGCATATTTTATCTGCGGCTAAACTTCCCCTCAAGCGAAAGGCGAAACGTGTCTGAAAACTGAGGAAGCTGCTGTTTGTTTCCTGTTTACATGCCCTGATCTCCTGGGCCAACATATACACACACACATATATTTTTTCATCTCCACAACATGAAGAAATGCTGAAATTGGAAACCGTTTTCACCCCCTGAAACCGGAAAGCAAAGCTGCTGACTTGAAGCAAATCAACAAACTGCTCACTTTATTTTTAAATCTGTTGAGGCAAAAAAAAAAAAGCTAAAGAATAAATGAGCTCTTTACACTGGTACTTGGTTATGTCTTAATATTTCTCCTTTATTTTTTTACAAATCGGGCTTATTTTCACTACGTAATGTTAGAAAACGTAAAAACACAAAGAAGACAGGTCTGAAGCTTGAAAACATGCATGTGTAACGTTCTTAATGTGCCGTTCCTCAGCTCTTAAATGTTTGGATTATTTCTCCCATGAGGCTTTAAGGTTCTGCTGTGTTCTTGCATTATTAATATTATTTGAATCATTTTTGCCCCCCTTTTTTTGCCTGTTATTGTTCAGTTTGTTTTTAAAATATCTTAAGTAACTTATTTCACTTGTACAAACTTGTCAATATTTATTATCATTGTACATATGTCCTTATTTTTTATATGTGTATATAAATACACAAATAAAAAAATAGACATACTTGGAGTTTGAGTGTTTGTTATGGAGGGAATGGCCATTTATATATGAGTAACAGTCATTTTACATGTGGATAAGAAGTCACTCAAGGGGTAAATGACCGAGCTGGTGGTACAAAGACTCAAAACTAAAAAAAAAGAAAAAAAAAAGGAAGAGCTAATTGAAACAGCTCACTGAAAAAGGTTCAGATAAACTTATATTTTCTTTAAATAAGAGGTAGACACAGAAGGTGGATGACAACTCAATCTAAATCAAGAGGAAGCGCACAAAAATATGATGAGAGTTCTGTGAGGGTAAAAAGTTTGGAGACGGAAGAGTGACGCACTGCTAATGCTAGGCTAGTTAGCATGGCCACTGATGACGGCGGATAAACAGTTTTCCTGTCACGGCAAGTTGTTTCTCTCCCATTTTTACATGAATCACCATTGATTGACAGCGCTAAGACCCGCCTCCTGGCTGTGATTAGTTGTTTTTGGTGCATTTCTTCAGACGGCGGAGATAGTAGGTCAGGGAGAAAATGGTGGAGATTGATCTTTTCACATTTTATCTGATTCGTATTGTACTGTCATGACATGTTGACAGTTTTAACAAATATGTAAAAAAAAAAAAAAGAAAAAAAAAAAAAAATTTTAAAAAAGTTACATACTGCAGCTTTAAGGTAGAGCAATTGTTTTGGACCAAGTCTTAGAAGCAGGTTTTAGATGGTTTGAACATCTGCGGCGAAGAGATAGTGGACGTGTTTGATAAAGGATATTGAATATGGAGCTGCCAGGGAGGCAGAAAAGGGAAAAAACAATGATGGAGGGTCGGTGTGACAGAGGAAGATGCTGGGGACAGATCGAGCTTGCGGCGACTGCTCCAAGAACCAGATATCTCCTGTTCGACAGTGTTAAATTGCTGGAAAGTTTTTGCCATTTTCAGTCTGAGACCTGAAATAAAAGTGCAACAGGCTCATACACATCAAACATGAGCCAAGCATTGAATCTAGAAACCAAGAAACAAAAAAGTATTTGATTTAGTGGAAGAACCATGAGAAGAAAACTACTTTTTTGGCCGACAAAAGCAGGGATTCACATCACCATGGCAACATCATTTCAACTGTGAAACACAGTGGTGGTAACATCATGCTGTGGGGGCAGGGAACCTGGTCAGAACTGATGAAAAAATGGAAATAAAGACATTAATTGAAGAAAACATGTTAGAGACTTGAGCTTTGGAGGTTTGACTTTGAGCAGCAAAGCTACAAAGGTTTAGATCTTAGCCTAATAAAATGGTCAAAGTTCTTTCACGCGCTTTAAACCGGACTACCTCAGAATTTAGCACACATGGAGAAAGATAATTTGTGAATTTGAAGGTTGGGAACTCATTACATAAAAATTCTCCCTTTATTTTCGTTAATCTGCTTCAGTGTTTTCACTTAACTCGCTATTAAAAGGGAAATCTAGTCAACAAAGCAGCAAAACTCCAATCTTACATTTTGAAACAACAGATGAGTGTCAAATGAACATTTACAATTTTTTAATTCTCAGCTTACTCTCGTGTGGTTATTCAGTTTCATCAGGCTTCTGTTCGTTTGCACGGCCCTGGCTGGTGTTGATGCAGCAAGGAACACGTTTCATGTGGTCAAAGTCCCAGCTGTGGAGAGGGGCTCACTGCTGCATCTGATCTCAGTGTGCTCAGCTGCAGAACACACTCTGAAACCTCACAGAAAGGAGGAGCTTCGAGTGTGTTCAGACGCTTTGTGTGTGGTTACAGGGTTTACAGAGATTTCCAGCAGTGCACCTGTTTGGGTTTACAGGTTTGTCTTTGGGGGTTGGGAGGCTTAGAGCACCTCCTTTGAAGCTATCAGATAAATCACATAATGAAATTGTAGTTACATTTAAAATTCTGTAGTTTGTTTTACACAAGTCAAAAGCAAAGTACTGGCTGACAGAAGCCCAAACCGCTTTTATTTGGAATGAAATCGCATGTGACTAAAAGACAGGTGGAAAACCACATAGTATTTGTAAAGTTTACAAAATGCTAATTCTGCTCGTCGCTAGCTTTCTGTGCTTTAACCAGTGACATGTGAGCAAGAATATCAAGGAGAATGCAACCCAGTTTCAACTGGAAAAAATTGAATTTTCTGGGAAAATGTGGTGTGAATGCTGTAAGCTGAGATGTCTTTTTGGTGAATATTCCAGAAGCATTTTAAGTCGACTGCAGAAGACTTGCAGAAATGTAAGAAATGTGAAGAAATGGCAGAGGAAAGCAAAAGTGTGCAAAGTGCATATAGAAAAACTGTTGTAAAGGAGTGAAAACTTTCAGTCAATGCACAAATTTCACTCAAGATTATTAGAAATAAGCAGAACACTGTTTTCTAATAGTAGAGCTTATAACTTAGCTTTCAAAGCAGTTTATTAGGTAAAATATGCTAACAAGCTAAAACCAGCTGACATGCTAATGTAGGCTATCACTAGCAAGAAATTTCTTCCAGTCGAATATATTTGATATGGAATAGAAACTGCTGCTCCATGAGTGAGTGAAGAGTGCCAAATTACAACACATAACATATGAAATAAATGTGCCAGTTTATTAACTTTTCACTCTCCATAGATTCTTAGTCTTTTGATCCATCTTTAAATAATATGTTTACCCATAAATTTCTCATTTAAAAATGTACAATAAAGTTTTCTCAAATATCTTTTTTTATATAAACTTACGCAAAGGTGAGTCAACAGAACTCTATTAAATGTTCGTTTTAGATTTAATTTCAACGCAAATCATTAATTTTTCTGTTCTACCAATAAAGGGAAAAAAAAAGAAACCACTAATTACAGCCACCAGCAGAGGGAGCTCTGGAGGTTAATATAACTAAATTTGTCACCTTCGTGAAAAAGTTTATTATTGTTATTATTATTTATTATGACAATTATCATTATTATCCTATATCGTAACTGCAGAAAATAGGCAATTCAATTATTTTCAAACACACTACGCTGAAAATGTTGACTTCATATGACAAAATGAAGGCAAAGGTCTTACTGGTTGGAACCAGTCACGTGGTACGGAACTCTTCGTTTCTATTGGTCAGTTTGTATTTTGAGGCGATCAGGTCGTGTTCAAGCCGTTAAGCAAATGAAAAAAATAGTTCCACTGAATATTGCACAATTTTGCATGTTATCGGTCTTCTCTAGTGTAGTCTTACTTCCGAGCTGTAATTAGGTCACCTGAGGATGTAGTAAAATATATTATGTCCGGTTTTCAATGTACTGTTTAAAAATGTTATTATCTGCTCCGCGGATGGATCTATCAGTGGCGATTAGCTCAGCCGTGGAGGGTGATTTGAATACCTTGCTGCTGCAACAGTCGTTTTTCAAGAATATTTTTAAGTATTTTTCGACTGTATATAAATATACTTTTAAGACATTTTACACATGTTTTAAGTTGAATGCTCAAGGTAAGAGTTTGACTTGCTGTCAATGAGTTGTTTTCACTAGTTGTTGCTGCAGTTCGCCAACTTGTTGCACGTCAGGGTGTCAAAACTAGATAGCACTGGCTAATAGCTTTGCTATTGAAGTTTTTTCCGGCTGCAGACAAACACTTTGCTGCAACTCATACATTTTCAGTAGTACTATGTATTTTTGTTTGCCTCTAATGCATGTTACATATTTGTTATTCTAGAACCATGTTTTGTTAAAAATAAATGTTTCGCTGCTTTTCTAGAAGCTATTGAGCCCAATACGCGAATAAATACTGGAAATAAATAAATATGTCCATATACATTTTTACGTTTACCTGATCCTCGTGTGATGTGCCAACATTTTGTCAACACAGATGTCTACAGACCAGGCAGTCACTAAAGTCCCAGTGGGGGATCAGGAGAACATGCCTCCCGCACAGGAAAATGCTCCTTCTGTAATGAATGAAATCTCAACTCCATTAAACTTTTCTGAGCTCACACCACGTCAGTTTGGCATCTCTGTGGAGAGTTTTATCCCGTCCTCATCAAACTGCAAAGGTAAGAAGCCCGAACTGTTGTTGACTACGAGGGTAAGGATAGTACATGATCCACACATGATCCAAGCCATATTGTTTCTTATTATCATCGCAGAAATGAGAGTTTTAGCAGGATGTCCTTTACTTTTTTATTCCTGGCAGCATATAATTGGGTCTGAAACCTAACTGTAGCAACTCTGCTCCACATGAGCCGCCTTGGTTAAAAATGTGTCACTCAGATGTGAAGCAGCACATCACATCCAGCTCACAGCAGCAACACGCCATCTTCTACTACTACATTACACACACCTTACCTTAGAGATAAAAGCATTTTAACAGCAGAGCGTCATCAGTAGTTAGTGCAGGGCATTGCAGAAGTTTTCTCTATATTGTTACAGTAGAGGAAAAGCCTCAACACAAAACAACTTGTAATTGTGTAGTTGAATACAATGTATTTTTTTAAAAACAGAATAATCTGAAAAGTGTGGTGTGCATATTATGTTTCACTTAGTGATAAAGTTTTTAAAATAAATGGGTTTTTCAATAATATTCCAGTTTATTGAACTTCTATTAAAAAGCATTCACGTGCTACTTACCTAAAGA